AGACAGACAGACAGACAGACAGACAGACAGACAGACAGACAGACAGATAGACAGATAGACAGATAGACAGATAGACAGATAGACAGACAGATAGACAGATAGACAGATAGACAGATAGATAGCCTAAAGCCGTATAGCCATATAGCCATATAGCCAAATAGCCATATAGCCATATAGACATATAGCCATATGGTCCTTAACAGACTGAAATATTGAACACCCGAAAATTCCTGCCCAGCCATAGCTGCACGAGGACCTGGTGCTGGGAAATCGGAGTTCATGTTGTCCTACAGCTGGGGATATGGAGTGGGGACAATTGCTGACACCTTGACGGACTTCTTCGGGCGAGATGTACACAGATATGTGTGGCATTTTGTCTCAGGTTGGTCTGGGATTCAGGTGGGACGATTCAAATGGGCCCGGGTTTGTGCATCAATTCTGCTACCTTGTCAGTAGAAAGGGGGCAATCAAGTCTGAGGTTCCTTTTTGGATCCTGACATGTCCTCTTTTTCCAAAACCGTGTGGTCCACTAGGGGTTCATTCTTGTTATCCCTTGTTGTTGTATTGGACACTGCCTTGGGGTCTCTTGCCGGGATCCTTTTTGTCCAAAGCGACTTGACCGTTCCGACGGCGATGTCGCACGCCGCGCCGTTTCGATTCCAAGGATCTGTTGCCTGTGCATCAATCAGCACCGGGTGAAGGAAGCCCAGGCGGAATGTCATCAAACCCTTACGATGGAAAGGTTTTGCAGATGCGTAGCAGTGCATGTCTGGGGCACGAGTGACGAGTGCATCATATCGATGTTCTTTTCAATGCATTCGTGTCCAGAGATATGAGATAGTCATATGTCATAGGTGAATGCAGCACCAGAGCTGCTTAATAATTTATTGACGACTTGAGCATTTCCTAAGCTTGCGTCTCGGCCCTCATGCCTTCAGGCAGCGGGAGAAGTTGTTCCTTTCAAAGAGTTCGAAGAAGCCTTCGGTAAACGTGTTGCGGGAGTATCCCATATTTTAGCTCTCTGGCTGGCAGGTGGGCGTTGAGGCAAATCTCACTCGGGAGTTGAGGTTGAACCTTGAGAGCAAAAGGGGATTTATCATTCCAAAACCAAGACCGTTTTGGGATCAATGGACAAAGTGCATGAACCAAGAGAATGGCCAAGAGCAAGTAGTGATCCTTTTGGGTCTCCGGTAGCAACTTTTCCGTCGGAAGGCGTTGGTCATTTGGTTCCAGTGGACTTTATCTCAGTCAGATTCGCTTGATCCTCCAAGAATAGGTCTCCAACAAATGGAACAATGGGACAATGGATTCTCCAAAAGCCTCCCCTGATCTTCTCGAGTTCAAAAAGGAAAGGTCACTTGATCCAGTGGATTGCCACTCTTCTTTCCTGGGAGCTGCATCAGCGATGGGAAAATGCCGCTGTGCAGAGGGGATCGATCGTTCTTAACTGCAATTGCAGTTTCTAGTCCTGCAGCCATCGCTACTATTTTGGTCATCGCTCTTAGTTGGAGGCCATTCGCTCTTAGGTTGTAGGCCATTGCTGATCGGAGTAGGTTGGAGGCCATTGCAGAATTTTTTGTCCTGCAGCGCCGCGCATAGAGTCATAGAGCCTCCATAGGATTAGGCACGGGGCTCCAAGGTTGCCCTTGGAGATATGCTCATTGGCTCCGTTGGTTTGTTGTTTTCCCTTGCCACTAGGAACAAGTGCATCGCTTCTAGTAACAAGTGCCTTACTAGTAGTAACAAGAAGCTATTAGGAACAAATAGCTATTAATTAGAATTTAATTAGAATTTAATTAGACCTCCGAGATGGTGTCCCAAGTTCGTTTTGTGGCCGAGCTGGTGTGCCAAGGCGATGATGAGCCCATGGCAAGAGCCTCTCTACCTTAAGAGGGTTTGGTGCGTGTTCGAGTTCAGCCGTGCCATGGCAGAGAAGAAGGAGACAACACCAAGACATTTGACAGTCATGTAGACCTAGGGGTGGCAAAATGCGTCTAGATCCAACATGTGTTTTCTCATGCTGACTTGTATCTACAGGCCAAGAATGAGTGGACCAACCAGAGCTGGCAGTTTTACTTCAAATGCCAAACGCAAAGGGCGAACGTTTGGGGGGCCAGAACTTCTTGGATGGATACCTGACTAGTAAGGGTTAGAGTCATATATACATATACATACTAAGCCCGCAGCCCCCTCATCCTCGTCCTTCCATTCAACGCCGGAAAAAACGCACGGAACGCACATGGAAACACTGGAACACGGGGCTTCTTACAGATTCGGTCACCGTCGACCTCGTGAGGAGCTTACAGTGCTGATGCCGGCGGAGGAACGGGAGGCCTTCCGGTCGCACCTCTTCGGCAGCGGCCTGCGGGAGCTCTTCGCCGGACTGGCGGCACTCCGGATCCAGGAGGCGAAAGCGTCGGTGCCGGTGGACAAGGAGAACATCCTGCGGACGATCGACCCAGACAGCAAGGAGAAGCCGAGAAGGGATATCACATGAAGCTACTAGGGGCTCCTGGCCGTACGACTAGGAGCAAGGACGCCACGAGGGGCTCGACATGGAGAAAACGCGCCAGCGACCACCGCGTCGAATCCGCGACCGGATCAGAGACCAGGTGTCAGCGAGGTTTCAGTGACCAGGTTGCAGCGGATCAGCGACCACGGTGATCAGCGACCAGTGGCATGCATGTATGTTTGCTATTTATGGCATCGCTACTAGGAACAAGAAGCTACTAGGGGCTCCTGGCCTTACTACTAGGGGCAAGGCCGCTACTAGTAGCTCCTGGCATCGCTACTAGGGCTACTAGGGGCTCATGTTGGTGGTGATGGCGCTTGTGATCACGTCTTTAGTCTCATGGCGCTTGTGGGGGTTACAAAAGGTCTGCTACGTTAGAATGACTGCGTCTCTAGATTTTACCCTTGGATGGCTCACAAAAGGTACGTTACACTTGCGAGCCACAACATGTGCCCTGTCCACAACAATGGTCCGAACAGAGCTAAGTGTTTGGGAACACAGGTTACCTTTCAACACCAAAAGAAAGGTGGAACAGGTTACCTCCACACTTCCAGAGTCCTTGCAACTTCTACATGTTAACCACTTTGTTAAAACATATATCATATGTCGATTGTAGTATACCTCGACCTTTCCACCTGTGCCAAATTCTGCCTCGAGAAGCTGAGCTCTTCTGTGTTGTTCTAAGGGAAAAAACAGGCGAAACGAGCGGTTGGACACAGCAGGCCTCTGACAATCTACCTACTGTGATGTTGACACTCGGTCGGTCGCTGATCTGGGTTGGACTTCGGGGTTGATGTCGGGTTGGATCTGGGTCGTTATCGATGGTCTTGTCTTTTGATTTGTCTGCCGATCTGTCTACACATTTACCTGTCTGCCTAGCGGCCTATAAGGCACCAGACAGGCTGGGATGCAAGAAAGTTCGCGTCCTTTGGTTGGCTTTAC